TGGACTAGAATTTTGGGATAATCTCCCTTTAGAATTACACTGTTGAAACCGTAACTCTCTGTTTGCCTTTGTAAATGTGGAGAGGACTAATTTAAGAATGTTGTCAAATTTATGTGGGTAGCATGTTGTTTAATTGTCATGTTATTTAATATGAGTGACAGGTGATGATTGAGGACTGCATACAACCATTTATGTTTTTCTCTTATTATTGCTTTGATTATTCGAATTCAAATTGGGATTTACGGGGTATTTTGATGTGTGTTAATATTAATATACAGGAATTACGGATGTTGGATTGAAAGCTATTGGTGATGGTCTTTCCTTATTACAATCATTGGATGTGTCCTACTGCAGAAAGCTGACTGATAAGGGGCTGTCCGCTGTTGCCAAAGGCTGTTGTGACTTGCGGATATTGCATCTTACTGGGTGCAGATGTGTTACGGATAGTATACTAGAAGCACTGTCCAAAAACTGTCATAATTTAGAAGAGTTGGGATTGCAAGGATGCACAAGTATCACTGACAATGGACTGATAAACCTTGCTAGTGGTTGTGGGAGGATCAAATTTTTAGACATTAAGAGTTGCAGTAATGTCACTGATGTTGGGGTTACTAGTATTTGTAAGGCTAGTTCTTCTTCTCTCAAGACTTTGAAATTGTTAGATTGCTACAAAATCGGGGATGAAACTATATTATCATTGGCCAAATTCTGTGATAATCTGGAGACTTTGATAATTGGTGGTTGCCGGGATGTCTCCAACGCCGCAATAAAGTTTCTGGCTACTGCTCGTAGAAACAACCTTAGAAACTTGAGGATGGATTGGTGTCTCAACATTTCTGACTCTTCATTGAGCTGTATTCTAAGTCAATGCAGAAACCTCGAGGCACTGGACATTGGTTGCTGTGAAGAGGTGACAGATACTGCTTTTCAACATATAAGCAGCGAGGAGCCTGGTTTGAGTTTGAAGATTTTGAAAGTTAGTAATTGTCCAAAGATCACAGTGGTTGGTATAGGCATTCTTGTGAGTAAATGCAGTTACCTGGAATACTTGGATGTTAGATCATGCCCTCATATTACAAAGGCTGGCCTTGATGAGGCTGGTTTCCATTTTCCTGGCGGCTGTAAGATTAATTTTAACGGTAGCATCAGTGAGCCCGCTGTTCTTCTTTGATACTGTAATTATTATTGAAGATTGATTCGATCAAAAGAACCGCCGCTGTGAACTATCTTGTTAAGGCGTGCCTTTAGAAATTTGAGGAGAATTTGGTAATGTTAGTTTTCATGTGCAGCATGTATATCACTGCACTGATTGGACGCATTGTATCATATTTTGTTAATCTCATCTGTTGTAGATTTTGTAAGCACAACATTATGATCGGCTCTTGTGATCACCAAAACATTGTGATCGGCTTTTGTACAATGATTCGTAATAATGTCATTCCTTTGTGTGACAATTAGTACTTACATTCAATTTTTTGGGGGTATTTAGTTACGGAGATATATCAATTTGTTTAATCAAATTCACGTGGGGACCTCTGTACTTGTACTTTTTGTGGGAAACATGTTTAGTCGGGTTGGCCTCTCATTTGTTAATGACATATAGTTTGGTTTTTAGTGTTTGATATAGGATTTTTAGTGGTAAAGGATGCCACTGACTCTTCCGATATCCGATATCTTAGATTTGTTTGAGTTTTTTCTCTCTTTAGGTCCTAAGACTAAAACTAAGGGTAGATGTATTGACCTTAATGCTAAAATTAAGGGTAGATTTATTATGATTTGATATGTTGTGGTGTATAGTATATGACTTGTTTGTAAGTATAAGTTTTTTACTTGTTCGTCAACAAATATGAAAGAGATGGAGGATAATAATATTTGTTAGCGTGAAGTTGGTTTCATCACAAAGCTTTGTTTGTTTTTGATTGATTTTAGAATGTTATCTTGTGTCTGATTCAATAGTGAATTGTTGTTGTTTCCTTGAGATTTTGGTATGATTTTATTGTCTGAGCTTTAACTTGGTTCTGGTTGGGTGGTGTCTCCCCGTGTGAATAGGTGCAGAACATTATTTTTTTTCCTTTTTGTATGTCATGTTGGTTGTGACTCTTTGTAGTTGTTTCTCTTCTGTTTTGTTTTACTTTGTATGTTCTTTTGTCACTTGTTATTTTGCTAGTTGGAGACTCCTTGTGTCTGTTGATTGTTTGTGTATTCGGTTGATTAGTCCTTATATTATGTGACCATTAAAAAAAATTATTTAATCAAATATTTTAAGTTGGATTTTATCATGCTAATGCAATAGCATTAAAGTTATTGCTAATATATGAGTTATTTAAGATGTACTATCTTGCAAGAAAGCAAAAGCACAATAATATGGTAGAAAAAATCAATCAAATAGGGAGATTAGAAAAAATCGATTTACCAAACTAGTAAACAGTAGTTCTCACAAATCTTTCACAGAGACATTAGTTTTCTAATTATTTATTTGATTGATTTATCTTTGAAAATGAACCGTTAAATATGACCCACTAAAATAATAATCAAATAAAAAAATCCTTATCAATTTACCAATTCAATAATAATATTATTATTTAATTCACAGAAAATTCGATAATATTATTTCAATAACCACTATCATTGCTAGTATCATTGTTCTATCTCACAACAAACCGATCGAATCGACGACTAAACCACCACTCTCTCCGCCGCACCATGTCTGAAGCACCGTCTCAGCCACCACTCCCTTCCTCCGAGACACCTCCTCCTTACTGGTGCTACCACTGCGACAAACACGTCTCCGTTGAAACGGTCGCTAATGTCCCTGACGTCATCTGCGGCGATTGCAAAAACGGTTTCGTCGAATCCATCTCCATCTCCACACCTTCTCGAGCTCGCTCACCGTCCTCTTCCTCCGATGATCCTTACTTTGGTTCGCAATTTCTTCAGGTTCTTCGCCTAATCGCTGAATCGTCGCGTGAAGACGACGCGTCTCCTCCCCCTCCTCCGAGTCGTTCACCTGACGACGGTATTCTCAGAATCGAACTCGGTGGTTGGAATCACCACAACGACGAAGAGGATGATGATGCGTTTCACACGGACGGTGAAGATGATGAAGGTAGCGTCGAGGAGGTGGAAGATCGACCTGGTAACGAAGATCCGAATATGGACGATGAAGATATGAGGCGAAGGAGACGCGATCTGTTACGGCATCGAATTAGGGATTTGGCGACGCGAACACGAAGTATGCAGAATCGGATCTTGGATTGGGCGGAGATTTTGATGGGATTGGAAGATAATTCAATTGAATTTCGTCTTCAGGGACCGGAATCGGAGCGGTATGTCGGAAATCCTGAGGATTACGTTGACGCGGCGGATTATGAAGCGTTGCTGCAGACGCTGGCGGAGAGTGACGGAAGCGGGAGGAGAGGGGCTCCGCCGGCGTCAAAGTCTGCTGTGGAAGGTTTACCGACGGTTAAGATTGCATTGGAGAGTGAAGTGGTTGCTTGTGCTGTGTGTAAGGATATGCTTGGTGTTGGAGATATGGCGAAGAGATTGCCGTGTGGGCATGAGTATCATGGAGATTGCATTGTTCCATGGTTGACTAGTAGAAATTCTTGTCCTGTTTGCAGGTTTGAGCTTCCAACGGATGATAAAGAGTATGAAGAAGAGAGAGCTTCGGGTTCGGGGCGTGGCGGAGCTTCCACCGTTTGAGTGAGTATGTTTTGTTGAATCATTGTAATATATTCCATGCTTTCTATTTATCTTCTATGGACTTCCCTTTTTTAATTTTTGTTATTAGTGCAATTTCATCAAAGCTTGCTCAATCACTGTTTTAATTATTCCAATCTTTTGACTAGTTGGTTTCTTGGTCTGGGATGCTGAGATACTTGTAAATAGCATTTGGATCAATGTGATTGCAATATTTATATGGAATTTGCTGTTTATCACATCTCAGTCGTGTTCATTTTAATGTTGTCGATTGCAGATAGCATATTGTTAAATTCCGCTATGCAATAGTGTTATAGTGGCTATTTGACAATGTTTTGTACCAAATAGCTATAAAATAGCATATTGCAGAACAATTGTGGTTTGTTTAAATTCTGCAATGCTATTGGGGATGTTTAACATTGGCTCATTTTATCTTTTGATTACCGGGCTTGCTTTCATCATATGTTTAGTTTGTGGAATAACCCTACAGGTAGGGTTTAGTGTGTCATTGATATTTGGGGTCCATATTTTTCCTTGCTAAGAATGATCTTGTTATTTCATAGATGGGATATTGTTTAGCAATTAGGACGAGAGATAGAGCTAGACATAGCATCTTCTAGTCTCCGATTTTTTAAAAATAAATTACAAATTTACAACTGGTCGTTACAATGGAAGTACATCAATTAGATAGTAGTTTTTTTGTAATCATTATGTGAGTGGTATTAAGAGGCCAAATATCAAGATATCCCTGAAGAGAGGTATGTGCAAATAATCGAGGTCCAAATACTTACACTAAACCGAGTCTCAAGCTTACATTCAATTGGCACTGTTGAGGTCCAAAGATTTACACTCGACCGAGTCTCAAGCTTACATTCAATTGGCACAGTTGGATTAAGTTTGGAGTCATTGGACCTGCTTGGATTGTGCTTTTCTTATAAGCATCTAATTTCATAATGGTCACGGCTCTATGAAGCTAGAGTTAGAATCTTGCTCGTGTATGAACATTCAGTTTTGTGATCTCTTGAAGGAGAGGTGCCATTATTGCTTGAGAGGAAGATAGTGATGGTAATTATCATAGACATGCAGTAGTGTTGGCTAGTAATGGTGGTGTATTGCAGGCACTCAAAGTTCAAGTCAGGGTGTGCATGAAAGAGGTGAGTGACAGGTTTTGAATGAATACACTTTAGAAGAGGTGTAGAATTCTTTATATAGGACCTTGAGTCACAGTAATAGCAGAGTAACCTTTTCTGCTAATGACTTGTATATATCCATAGCTGTTTTTGAATTGGCTGTTACTACCAATGTTCAGTGGGAGCTTTATTTTGGCTTCAAATGAGCTTGAGGCCGACCTTGGGCTAGCTCCTGACGTGATCTTTGGCCTGAGGATGCATAAGATTGGTGCAGAAATTCTATGGTATGACAACATTTTGATGATTATTTTTTCCTACTGGAGACCCTACTAAAAGAATGGGTCGAGCTCTGATTAAAAACATTCTAGACAGGTGTTTCTGCATTTTGGAAAAGGATAGAGGAGTTTGGAACTGGTTCTACTATCCATTGTTAGATATTAATGTTAATAACTTCTTAGTCCTTCTCTTGTCTCAGGTTTGTTATATTTTGTAACCATGACTCGGAAGGTACAGTTTATCTCTTATTTTGTTAATCTGTTGCCGAACAAGTTCCACTGATGTATGCACTGTACTGATGTAGGCCAACAATCAGTCCGTTTGAAATCTTTTGCCTAAGTGAATAACCTGTAATATCAATAATGAAAAGAAGAAAAAATCCATTTCCTCCAAATACTTAAGAAGAAACACTTATATATTCTGATCTATTTATGTGTATAATATAAATATTTGAAAAGATGACGTCTTCACGTTCTCCACAATTCTGTCCTACCTAAAAAATAGATCCAAATTTGTTAGTTTAACCAAACTTTGGTTTTGTGGAAGACACGTTGATCAACTGATCAATGGTTGCATGTATGGGTGTCTCTGCTCTTCGTAAAAGGTGCTTGTCATCTTCGAATATAAACCTAAACAATATAGTAGTATTAAACAGACAACATTATTACTGATTATTAAATTTTTTAAAAAATTGCAAATCTTACAGTACCGATAATTTAAAAAGAAAATCTCTTGGTCAGAGCTGTGTTAAATTTTTGGAGGGGATATTTTTGGAGGTGATACAGTTCAACTATGATAAAGTAATTAAGAGATCTCTTTAATGAGAGTTTAACTACTATAAATATATTGAGGTCTTAATCGCAATTTAACCATGAAAAACGTGCACCTTGCACACACTAGAATACGGCTATACTCTTGAAAAAAAGCGGAAATATGATCGGACACCAACTATCAAAACCATTTGATAATGGAAATAATTAAAAGACATCATTTAGAGGCTGGTCAAACACGTCTTTGCCTCGAAGTAAACTTGTTGATTTAATTGTTCACATTTTTTTCTTACATTGAAATTGAGGATGGTGAATCACAAGTTGAATTAAGAAAACATTGGATCGATGGAGTGATTGTTACATAATTGGGAAAGTCTATTGGTTTTTTTGTTTGTTTGAAAAACGCAAATTATAGTCAAACACCAACTATGGAGGTGGTCGTTAGTACACAAGGTGATGAAGACAGAATGAATGAGAAAATATATTTTATTGTTCTGCAAATGACAACTACAAAAAGGTAGAGAAAGATTAGATTACAAATGACATCTACCACTAGTCTATTTATACACAAAGTAAACCGTCACATAATTCCTAACAAAAGGTAAACTTAATAATTAAACAAATTAAATAATTAGAACCCCAAAAGCTAAATATGTTTCTGGGATGCAACCTCAGAAGCGTCTGCTTCTGACTCTACAATAGCTTCTGCATATGAATTACTTTCAATACCATCCCTTAATTCATATTCAACTAATCAAAATCTACAACACCAATTTCATCCCTCAAACAGATAAGGTTTTCAGTCTTGACAATTTCATAAGTTGACAACGCAACCACCGATTGCTTCTTGAAGTACCAAGAAATGAGACTTCTCAGATACTTGAAAATATATCTAGAAGTACTTCTTCTATCAATCCTCAGAGTCCCTTCAGTATCTTGCAGCTTGCCAAACTCTGCAAATCTCCTTGGTATTTTTCTGATTCGTTGTGGTCTCTAGATTTGTTCAGAATCTCATTCTGATTCTGGAATTGTATCTTCTTCTGGATTTTCTTCAGAAGTTTGACTACCACCAGAAGCTCTACCTTTGTTAACTTCTGGACCTCGTCTAGAACCACAACCTTAAAAAATACCACCTTTAAAAGTTAGATCGCCTTCAAAAGCTCCTCCTTCAGAAGTCCCACCTTCAAAAACATGACCACCGTTAGAGGCTAGACTACCTTAGAAGCGCCTCCTTCAAAAGTTGAATCGCCTTCAGAAGCTCCTCCTTCAGAAGTTCCATTTTCATAGTCATGATTACCACCAAAAACATGATCATCTCTAGAAGCTTGTCCTTTGGAACTTACGTCTTCAGAGTTTTCTCTTCCAGAAGCATGATCACCACCAGATTTAAAATCTGGATCATAATCAGATTGATCATCTAATTCATCTTCATCATCTTCTGACTCTGACTCACCTTCAGAACTTTCAAGTTCTGACTCATCTTCAGAACCTTCAGATTCTAATTCATCTTCAGAAGCAGAATCTCCTTCAGATTCTGACTTATCTTCTGATTCTTCTTCAGACTCAAAACCACCTTTGGATTTTAACTTCTCTTCAGCTTCAGAGTCATCTTCTAACTCTGACTCATTTTCAGAAACCTCAGATTCTGTCTCATCTTCAAAGTCATCTTCTGATTCTGAGTCATATTCAAACACTCCTTCAGAATACTCAGAGTCATCTTCTTCCTCTTCAAAATCAGAAAATGACAATCGCACAAGTTTCTCATTAAATTCATAAGCCATTAATAACACATGTTCATCATCTGAATCTCCTTTGACTATTTTTGCTTCTTTTTCTTTGTTTGACCAACAATTTTTAGCAAAATGGACAAATCTACTACAACAGTAACACTGAACCATTCTCTTGTTATACTTCTCCTTTCCCTTTTGATGTTTTTTCTCATCAGAATAGAATACTTCTGGCTTCTGAGACCTACCATATTTTTTCTGCTTCTAGTCTTCTTTACAAAAGAAGCTTTCGGAGTCTGCTCAACTTCTCTTTCAGAAGTTCTCTCAGTCAGACGCAATTCTTGCGCCTCTAGACTGCTTTGCAGCTCTTCTATTCCCATGGTGTCCAGATCTTTAGAGTGTTCTATTGCTACAACAATGTATTCAAATTAAGGGGTAAGAGACCTTAATATCTTCTCTATAATTACTTGTTCAGAAAGGGTTTCTCCACAAGCTTTCATCTCATTAGTGATCAGAATCACTCTGAAGATATACTCAAATACCTTCTCGTTGTCCTTCGTGTAGAGATTCTCATACTGCTTTCGTAGAGACTGGAGCTTCACCTTCTTCACGGATGCGTCACCATCGTAACGCTCAACCAATGTGTCCTATGTAACCTTCACCGTTGTCGAATCAACGATTTTATCAAACACGTTCACATCCATACACTGATGGATATATAATAACGCCTTCTAATCTTTCTTCCTTTTATCTCTCTGTGCGTTTCTCTGTCCTCCGTCGCATCTGCTGCAATCGAAAAGTAACCTTCGGTAACAAGTTCAGAACATCTTGAGCACTGAACAACACGCGCATCTAAATCATCCAACAATTTCAGTTCTTATCATCAAACACTGGAAGCTTGATGCTCAGACTACCGTTTCCGTTCATCTTCAACCTTGTGCAAGTCACTTAGATCTCACCAAACACAGTATTTTTCAATCCCACATAATCATAAAATGTGATTCTGTTACGATTTCGTTCAAGATTCAACACGAATTCAAAAAACAAAATCAATCACATAACGCCTCACCATTTCATTTGTGTTTCCCATGTTTCCCTGTGGATTCGAACCGAAGCTTTAGATACCAATTGTTAGTGCACAAGATGATGAAGACAGAAATAATATATTTTATTACTCTGCAAATAACGACTACAAAAGTGTAAAGAAATATTAGATTATAAATGACATCTATCACTAGTCTATTTATACTCAAAGTAAACTGCCACATAATCCCTAATAAAAGGTAAACTTAATAACTAAGCAAACTAAATAACTAGAACCCTAGAAGCTAAACATACTTCTGGAACACAATTTCAAAAACTTCTGCTTCTGACTCTACAACAACTTCTGAATATGAATTACTTCCAACAGTGGTAACTTCAATAATTAAAAGACATCATTCAGAGGCAGAAAGACAAAATTTTCAGGTCAAACACGTCTTTGCCTTGAAGTAAACTTGTTGATCTGATTGCTCAAAAAAAATTACATTGAAATTGAGGATGGTGAATCACACTAGTTGATTGTAGATTAAGTGGTGGATGAATTAAGAAAGCCTTGGACCGATGTAGTGATTATGTAATAATTGAAAAAGTCAATCGATTTTTTTAACATTGGAGATTGGTTTAACATTGGATGAAAAGTCGTGGGAGATATGGATTTGGTGGACATATGACATGACTTTTGCATGGTACATGGTTGGAGACTAAGAAAGACATATAGCAGATACGTCGTCGATGATATTTGATCATTATTTTATGAGAATTTCTCTTTTCACCTTATAGTGAAAAGAAAAATCCTATATAATTTCTAAAATGTTTCTGAAAATCAAAAAATATATTTTTGATGTACACTCACACACACATAATTCATTTGTTTTTGAAATTCATTCTATTTACGACAAAATTTATTTTGAAAATGCACTTTCAGAAATTTCCAAAAATGAACTTTCGGTTTTGAGATTAAATTGATGAAATTGGAGATATATTTGACATATTAATCATTGTAGATGACTCCTTGTACAATAGGCCCACATGATTCATGTTTGTGCAGATTCCTTCTAACAAAGGATCATACGTCAAAAATGTGAAGTGAACACTAATAATGATTTTGTTTGTCATGTATACATGTGTATTTAAGGGTGAATAATTTATTTGTTTCGAAACTTGACTTACCATGTACTCTTATTTCATATAAACTTACTTTATATAAACTTATCTTTAATTAATAAATATTTTAATTCTTTGAATTATGCTCCTGCAGATTGCCATAGAATTAGCCACACCTCTTTATGGGGAAATGTAGGAAACTTGAACTTCGACGATGTGATTATAGACTATGATCTTAAAATCGGAAGTATATTTTTAGGAGTTTTTAGAAATATATTTTTGGAATAAATTCTATTATAAAATATGATGAATTTCAAAAACGAATGAATTATGAATGTGAGAGTACGCACTAGAGATATATTTCCATTTTTAGAAGTATTTTTAAAATTTTACTTAGTATGTTAAAGAAACATAAGGTGGAAAAAGAAATCTTCTATTTTACAATGTATAATTAGATTTAGACTTTAACCCAAAAAAATGAATCAGGTGGAAAAACATAATTGTGTCTAACTTAATAATGAAATATTACGAAGAGAGTGTACTCATTTTCATTGCTACAACAATTGGAAACTCGATTAAATGGCGTCAAAATTCTAGAGGCTTTATGTGGAAAATAAACTAGGGTTTGTGTAGAGTTGAATATAAACAAATGGTTGTTACTTGTTAGCCGCATAAAATTTCGT